AAAAAGCTGAAATATACTGATGATGGTTTTATGAATGTCAGAAGGGGCCAGATGGGACCTTTGATATCAAGCTAGGAAGAACTTCTGACAGGCTTACTAGTGGTCATATGTTAGAGAAACAGATTTACTGTAATCCTCTAGTTTAGTTTTTATTTATGGAAAACCTCCAAACAAACTGTTCCCCTGAATGTCTTATTTATCTTACGGAAGGAAAGAGAAAAGCAGGGAATTGAATTTGTTGTGGGTTTTGTGGTTGGTTTGTTTGTTTGTTTGGTTATTTTAACAGCAGCACTTCTTTTCCTTTAGAAGGTGTATGTGTGTGAGAAGTGGGAGGAGGAGTGTTTTATTTTAAAGATGGCTTAAATGGTTAATCCTTGGTGAGTTAAATTATGCAACCTTTTTTCCCTTTCAAGTGTAAGTGGCTTTAGGAGGTGCTTCTCTGATTCAAGAAATACTCCTCAAAGAAGAGGGGTTCGTGCATGAGTAAAAAGTGCAAAGCCACGTACATTAAATGTCCTCAGCTGAGAGGCGATCCTGAGATTTTAAAACATCCTTGTGCTAACTGTCCAGTGGGCTAAATGTGGGGTTGTGGGGGGATAGGGAGAAGGAAGGGAGAAGTTAAAGGGAGTTGTGCAGATGGACGAGCTGGAAGGCATGGCTAGTACACTGCCGTCTCAGTTCTCTTGGGCAATCCTGTTGTCCCTTTACCACCTGCCTGGCACGTGTTACTGGGCTGACTGGGAGTTCTCCCAGCTGCTGCACACCGGCAAGGTCAGATTCCCTGCGCTGGGACACGGGAGCCTTGTTTTTAATCACGGAAGCGACAGCCCCGGCTCTGCTAACGATGGTCATTGAAACGTGAGCTTATAATAATGTCATTTGAAAGAGCTTGTACACCCCCTGTCTGGCTGTGCTTGCTCTGTCGTCGTCTTTAGACTGCACAAATCCTGTCCTGTTAAGGAATAGGAATTGTGTCATTTCTGACTTCAAAATCACAGTGAAGTAACTGTTATGACTTGTTTTCCTGTAAGATAGTGAGTCCTCTCTATATCAGGATGCCTTTCAAATACAGGGAGGAGATCTATTGCTTTGAGGAGTTCACATCTAAAGACAGAGGTCCAGACAATACTGTTAATACTTTCTGTGTGTGGTGTATTTTGCACCAAATAAATTAAGTTTTTAATTAATGCTTTACCCTTAATGCTGTCAAGCAAAGCTCTGAAATGTAAATGTCAGGCTAACAATTGCCTTTGCACAGCAGTTAGTCCTTTCTCATCCGAGTCCATCCTCTGCACTTGAACAAGACCAAGGTCCTGTTGGTAAAAAATAAAAATTACATAATTAAATGTTGTAATGTGAAATGTAACTTTAATCAGGATCTTTGTGATCTAACAGTAAACATGTGCTATCTTCTAGAGTTAGGAAAAATGCCAGCAAGTTGGCTAAACATGACTTGTAATTTTTCCCATTTTTTCCAAGTGAGTCTCTGGTTACAGAGGCATAAGCTTTGTTGTATAACTTGAATGTAAGAATTAATCTGAATGATGTAACCAAACATCTTGGTATACACATACTTAGCATTTAAATAATCTTAAACCTTCAGATTCTGTATGCTAAAATATTTAACCACCATGTGTAGTTCTTCTGATGTCCTCAGTTTTGTGTTTGAGGTTTTTGTAACAGTCCCATGAAGTAAGTCCTGATTTACAGTCTTCAACAAAAAGTTTAAAGCTGATCTGCACAATATGATTGTTTTGGTAGCGGTGGCGTATTTTTCCTTACATATGTTATACAGAATTGTTGAAAAGATTCAAGAGCCTTTTTCTGGTGGGTAGGAGGAGAGAATATTACTTCAAGTGTATGTATATATCAAACTGCCTTTCCTGTTAGTAACACTAACAGGATTCTCAATGCTAATCAGATTCTCAACAGTCAGTCTTACTGAGAAGAACTTGTTTCTAAAACTTTGCTATTTTGTTTGGCTAAGGCTAATTCTAATTGCTTTCTTAGCTTGCAGTAAACATAAGAAAGCATTGCTCAAGCTTTTCTTCTGATCCTGTGTATGTTTTGGGAAGAAAGCAGAAGTGGATATATAAATACGGCTTCCAGAGCTGGGGTTTTACAAACCCCCAAATGTTGCAGGATATACTGTAATCTGTGAGCCCTGCATACTCGTGGCTTGCACAGCTTTTACAGCATGTGTTTCTAGAGCTTTCTAAAGGCAGCCTCAGTAAAATGAATAGCTGAGATTTTGATACGTTTCTGCTTGCTGGAGTTTTTGTTAAGAAACCCTGCAAAATGCTAGACTCTTAAGATTATTGATATGAGTGATTGTGAGCTGTGTGATCTTAACCTGCCTAATGTGCTTTGTACTGAGTGCGAAAGTGTGAGTTTGTGTATGTACTCTTGCTGCAAACAATCTCATTTAATCTACAGAGCAGATTTTATCTGGTACCTTTTTTTATCAGTACTGTTCTGGGTTGGTTCCCTGTAGTCACAAATGCAGAGAGCGATCAAGAATCAAAGCCAGTTGGTCATAAACTATTCTTTACCATAAAAACGCTAAGAGCAGTGGAAGACGTAAGTCTAAGGTGCTTGGAGTTGCCGGTCTTGTATGTTTGTTCTTCTTTGTCTCAGTTGCCTAACTGAGAAAACTTGCCTGTGTCAGGCACAAGTTTTTCCCGTGGCTCTCGTTACTGTGCTGCTTATGGGGAACCCAATTCTTTGTTGTAGAGCTTAGATACTGAATTAAAAAAAAGCATGCAGACTGAAAACTCGGAGTGAAAAGAAATTATTCAACCAATACTTCATTCTCTAAGCTTGTCCCCTCTGATAAATGAGGCAGAGATGCCAGTAAAAAAAACTACACTATCCGTGTGGATAGAGTGAAAGTATTTTGTATTTCCAGAGGCTTGACTTTCAAACGTTAACCTGTTCTAAACAGTTACGAAAAAAACTGTAGTAAATTATGTGCAGAGGATGATGCATATGTGTTTCCATTGCCTGTCTAGGTCCCCTTTAAGTGACTTCTCCAAGGCAACACAGCAAATCACTCGGTCAGTCATGATTAAACTCCTGGTGTTCCTCACTTCATCCTCGTGAGTCCCTGGACTCTCAGCCTGGGGTTGCAGCCCTTCAGAGTGGTTAAATACAATGTGAAGGTTGGTAACTATGCAGCTTTATTCTGCATAGTTCAGTCTTGATGAAGGTAGTGCCCTGCTATGTAGGAGAGCCCTTATGTAAGGGGGAAAAGGAAGGAAGGAAGGAGCAGTTAATCATGCTGTTATTTTTAAGTGTCAATTTTCTCTCCAGTTCATGTGTGTATTTGTGCTACAAGTGCACTGATACTTTTCTTTTTTAGAATAAAAATCATGCTCCTTTATTCTCAGGCTGTATTTGCAGATGTGTAGTACCAACTGGTTTGTTCAGCTTTCCAGAGTTAGTCACCTACAGCAGCGAGATTTCTTTTTAGTTATTATTATTAGTAGTAGCATGGAGATAGAGTTGTAGTGGCTTGTTGAAGAGGGATGCCCAGTGCTTGCGTGATGGAAGAGCTTCTTCTATAGATTTTTGCGCCAGTTAAATAACTGATTGATAGTGGGAGGTGGAGGTAACAACTAAGGTTTTAATATTGAAGAAACAACTAGAGTTTGAGAATCACACCTCAGCACCCTCAACAATGAGGGGCTTTCAAATTCTGTAGCATCCAGAGCAAAAGCTCTTAATGTGAATATAGCCCCAAAATATACTCACCAGTTCATAACCTGCCATGTTAGCAGCTGGATGTTATTTAAACTAACCTCACATTGCTCTCGAATTAACTTGACAACTTATCTTTTGTTATATTTTATTTTTCCAAGTGCATAACAAGATTTGAGGCTGGGAGAGTGACACGACTTCCAGTCCCTCCCAGTGATAGGCTTCCTGTTCTCTTGCTGTTCTTGGTGCTCATCAGCACCCTGGTTCTGCTGGTTAGGAAATGTGAACTCCTCCAGTTGTGCTGGTCTCCACTGAGTGAGAGATGATGATGTGACTTTCTACTGCTGTGTCTATTTATAAGGCTGGGACTTAAACTTCAGCTCTGTGACGACTTGAGTGTGGATAGAAACATATCTGCGAGGATCTTGTTAGATGTGGAGTTGAAGCTTAAAATACACTAATATTCTAGTATTTTACTAGAAAATTGGAGTATTTTGGAGGCTTTTTTTAGCATCAGGGAAAGTAATTGAGCAAATGAATTATCATTTTATATTTCAGCTATCTTTTTAGGACTCTGACTCACGAGTCTTTTATGATTCATATGAGGATGATTTAAGATGTGTACTACCTTGCTCTGCTGTTAAAGGTTGTTCTTCCCATGACTCAGGCAGTGTAACGGGCAGTGTATCTTCTCAGCCTCCACAGTTCATGACCTAAGGTATTAGCTTAAACTGCCATTGATTTCAGTTTACGTTAGTGCTCTGGGATTTGAGCTCTGGTGGCTGCTGACACACCACCTGCTCTACCATCTTTGTTGTCTTGGTATAGCCTCTAGCAGAGGTGATGGGCAAGTGTCTGGGGTGGGTAACCTTGTCATTCTTAGCTGTGGCAATTGACAGGGCTTGTCATTTAGATGTTAAATGTGATGGAAAGGGTGTATTTCCCCCTGGGGAAGGGGACACAGACCTTGCACAGAACTAGAAAAGCTTGTACCTGTAATCTCTTCTTCCCCTAGTGACACTAATAGTTTGTATTTTAATCCAGATTAGAATTGTAGGTCTCCTTGTCTTTCCTTGACATGTCAAACAGCTTTTCTTTCCAAGTGGTATTTTTTAGTTAGCTTCACTTAAAAAAAACCTGTCAAAACCCAAATGCTCAAAACCCAAACAAAAAACCCTCTCCCAAAAACCAAACAACTCCTCCCCCAACTTTCCAAATGTTTGAATTTTCTTTTTTTCTCTTTCAAAGTGTACTTGAGCTGATTGTAATAATCTGTTGTTGTTGTTGTTCTCCTTTTGTAGGAGGAGGTAGAGAGCTGAAGGGAATAACTTCCTCCAAACTGGTAAGTACTCCTTGCTCGGCTAAGATGGTTTACCTAAGAATAGATGATAGGAAGAGCTGGAAAAGTTTGATGTTTACAGAAGGTGAAATCCTATCTGTTCTTATATTCAGAAAATAAAACTTAAGAAGTAAATGTTACTGATGGAAACCCCAGTCCTATGAATAAAATCACTGTAGGGCTGAGATTTGGGCCCAAGGGTCTGTAAGTACCAAGTATATTTAAATTCATCTACTCAAAAATGATCATCTTAAATATTTTTTTTTTCCCCTGTGTAATGTGAAAAACAAATTTACTTGAAGGGATTTTTGGTGCAGAAAGACTTCTGTCTAAAATTCAAAGTTATTCAGAGTCCTTCCATGCACACAGAAGGCATTCAGGGCTTTTGTGTGGGTCCTGCCTTTTTGTTTTGCTAGCTATACACCTTGTCATCAGCTGTATTTCTAGTGTAGTTTCCAAAATAGCCATAGTTTAAATACTGTTGTGATGTTTTAGAAGTTCTGGTGTGGACTGTAGTTAACTGAGATGATAATAGAGAAGTGCTAATGCACTTAAGTGATTATTAAGTTGAAGGTTTGATTCAGTCTCTGAAGATATATATATAATATATAAATATCTACTACCTTAACTGCAGTGCATTGGTGTACTTATCTGGGTATGAAATTTTAAGATGTGAAGCAACCACGTAAGAAGTAAGAGATTTCTTGTGACAAATGCATGCCAGCAAGAAATTGAATGGAGGACTGCTGCCTCCAGTAGTTGAAATCAATCCAAGGAATGGCAAATTTGCCTCTTGCTCTCAGTGTTCTTTCTGGCTGAGGCTTGGAGCTATGTCTGGGTGCGCAAGGGATGCGGTTACTCCACAATCCTCTGCTTTCCTCTTGGAAACAGCTGATTCGAGCAAGGCATTTGCATGTTTTCCTTTAAAAACGAATGGAATGAAGGATGTTTGCAGACCAACCCATCCATGCAATTTCAATCATCTACAAGCTTTTTAATTAAAATATTTCCACTGTCATAAGAGTAAAGTGGAAAATGCAGTATGTTTTATGATTAATCCAGGGACAGCTTTATGCATTTTTGGATGAGGTATTCTAGGTAGTTTATAATGTCACTGGACTTAACTTCAAGGGAAGATTAAAAAACTTAAGTCTTAAAAGAGTAAAAGTTAAAAAAAATAAAGGAATTTTGCACTCACATGATGTATGTGACTGCTTGTTCATGTAGTTATGTACCTGCTTTCAAAGGAAACACTAGCAACGTTTCATCAGCTGCCCTCACAGATATTTCTAGACATTACTCTATAGAAACCAGAAAAATACAGTCTAGGATTTGTTGGAGGGAAGGAATGATCACACTGAATAAGTGTTTAAGGTACTTCAGGTAACTTATTGGACAGGAATAACTTTGGATACTTATTCCTTGGGAAGGGAAGCTGCAAGTGCATGTTCTAGAGTGTTTCAGTTCTAGGGCGGTACAATCGAATAGTAACTGTATATATTTCATGTTCAGAAATCAGCACCTTGACCAAAGTTTTAAATGAGCTATGGTTGTTGATGTCTTCACCCCTGGGCTGAGCAACCACTTCCTTCTGCAAAGCACTGCCACTTTTTTCTTAAACCTCTTAAAAACTGATTTTTGGAGAAAAAACATTATAGCTGTTCCAGGTATCTATGAAATTAGGCTGGATTAGTTTTCAGGAACCATCAATACTACAAAATCTATATGTCAAATTAAGTTGTGCGTTAATAGTAGTTGCTCAATCTTTACGTGTTTTTTTACAGAACTACTGTGTCATTTGTCCCATGAGCTAGTTCTGAGCTTTACAGTCACATGTATTAAAATTAGAGATACTGTTTACATGCTCAGTTGAGATAACTCTCTTCTGCTTTTTTGCACTAAACTTTAAAGTTATGTAGTTACAGAGTGGTACTTTTCTGTCTATTCATCACAAGTGCCTTCTCATTTACTGAAGATATGCAGAGAAAGAAACTGGCCATATCTGTATCTTTACCCCAAAACTGAATTTCCAAGGCTTCTAAAAGACTTTTTCGGTCTGGAGTGGGTTCAGTTTTCATTAGCCAGCCTCCCACGTGGTTTTTTGAAGCATGGTTTCTTTCAAAACTGCAGTGCTAGGGACCTAATGCAGGCTAGAGTTGTTCTTGTCAGTGAGTGGAAGTAATAATGTTTTCTCATTAGTGGTTGTGGTGATAGAACAGGGAACTATATGTAATTTCCATGTATCCCTCGATACAAATTACAATTTTATAGAGACTAGTGCTGCAAAGGCAGCTGGTTTTGCTCATCTGTGTCACATGTGGGAGAGGCCCTTGCAGAAGGTCATTTCATGTGTTGACTAGAAAATCTGATCAAGCCTTTGTTATTTAAATAAGTAACTTTAAGCCAACAGTAGACAGCACTGACAGAGAATGAGTTTAAATATAATGCTTTTTAAACCCCTTTGTAGTCCTCTCTTTTTGTAACGTATTTCTCTTTGGAAAGAGAAACTACTAAGTTAAATAAGCAAACACCCCCCCTCCCATCCCTACCCCCTTTTATTTTTAGGAGTTCACAAACTTGTCCAGCACTTCAATTTACTGTAGTGAGACAACGTTAAAAGTCTTTAACTTATGGGAATTATTTTCTTTTTACAGCCTACATATCTAATCTGAACTGTCAATATCCTTTTGAAAACAATGAAGTCCCATTATGAAAGCCTCTGAGTTGGCTACAATATCTGAGCAATAATTGAGAGCAATTTTCAAAAAAATAGAAGAATAGGAACTATTTTAACACTCCAGCAGTTCTTTAATGGATGGTGTCTGGATGGAAAAGTGGCTGGAAAGATTGCTCTAGTATGTTTTCTTATGGCTTTTATGTGTATATATTTAGAGATGGTTTTACACCGGTTCCATTGTGATGTGTGAGCATATGGGAGTCTTAATCCTATTTCAGAAGCTGATATATTTAACATATTTCTGAGCAAAAATCTCTTGTCCAACTTCCAAGACTTTTAGAAGTATGGCTGATAAAGTTTTTCTATGTCAGAGGTTGGAGGGATTAATTTGTTTGTAGTACAAATGAAGATGGTAAACTCATACTCATGTTCTACAAGTAGAATTCCAGGATTAAAAAGTCTTAAAAATTAATAGTTTTGAGAAAGTCTTCTGCTGCTTTGTATCAGTCTTGTGTTCCTTCAAAATAGGTTTCACCAGAAGTGACTAACTCAGCACAAACTTTGGGCAGTGGGTTATTGATGTATTAATGTTCTGTCAAACTGCATGCAGACCATCCCATTTAAGAACAGCTCTGTAGTATCATGGAAATATGTTAATGCAGTATGTTCTGTTTAACAATTTACTGCTGTTGGGGTTGCAGAATTTTAGTCTCCAGAATATTTTCTCATCTACCCAGATTTTTAAAACATTCTCAGTAGTTAAATTTTTCTAATTTAATATGCAGCTGCAATAGGATATTGGTAGGAAATAGCTGCCTGCAAACTAAGATAAGGGACAAGTATGTCAACTTTGGGATATGTGGGAAGTAACAAATTTGGCTGAACGACTCCAAAGCAGGCATTTCATACAGCCTGTAGATTTCGTGTGTTGGAAAGATTGCTTGTGTTTAGGCTAGAAAGCTGCAGTTGAATATAGTTCCCTACTGAATTCCTGCTCTGTTATCATCTCCTTCTTGACTTCTGCCCTTCACTAACCAAAAGAAAACCTTTATTTTTCTATAGCACTGGTGTTAAAGAGGAAACCAGAAACTAAAGGCACTGGAATCAGCAAAGACACTTTTAGAGAAAGTGGAGAAGGTAGAGAATGGAGCTGCAGACTCTACAGGAGGCTCTGAAAGTGGAAATTCAGGTTCACCAGGTAATTTGTATTCTTTCTTGCTTTATATTTTCAACTTAAAGCAGCATTAGTATTGCTGATAGCATTACTACTAATGGTAGCATTAAGTAATAGCACTACAGCTGTAGTAATAATTGTTTTATAAGCTTGAAACTACTTTAAGATTTTATACTCTGCATTTTGACCCCACCACCTGCTGGGTTTTTAGCAAATGTGAAATATCTATGTATCAGGTTGTGTGTGGGCATTGTTTTCCTTTTAATATTTTGCACCAGTGATAAAAACATCCTGAAAACTCCATATTTAGCAACTTCTGTCTGGAAGATTTTTCTCATGTTCTGAAGCCAACTTCATCATTTGGTTGTCAGTGGAAGAATATGGTGGAGGAACTTTGAAGTGAAATGGCATAGTGCTGTGTAGTCTCATCTGGTGCTTCTCCTCTGGAGTGTCTTCTACTTTAGTACCTTCTAAACTTGTAATTGTGTTGTTTTGCCAGCCAAAATGTAGTGCTTGGGCTCTAATTTTTATGTTTTGGGTATTTTTACTGGTAACTGGTGCAGTATATGGCAGCAGAGTTGCAGTTTGCCATTCTGTTACAATACAAATGCGAACTACTAGTATGAGTAAAGCATAATTTGTCGAATATAAAAGGGGGGTTGGAACCCCCTCTTACCCTTAAGATGATCTTAAGGTCCTTTCCAACCCTAACCATTCTATGATTCTAGGACATATGTATGTTAATTTCTGGAACAAAACTCCTCCAGCCGTAAACACACAGTAGCTGCCAACTTGAAATGTTAAGTTTATCAATGTGACCTTTTCCAAAGACAGTTCTCCAAGTGTTTCTGTTGGATACCTGAAGCTCACAACTGTTACACAGTGGATAAAAGAAATACAAGATAAATTATACTGATTAGTGTAACCTATCATATAACAGTTGGAAGATGTTTCCAAATTACCTGGTAACTTGTCTAAACAAGTGTTCTAGATGGCTTGTTTAGTAGTTGCTGCAATGATGAGCATAGTGCGAGAAATTGAATGGGTGGATTAGGAAACTGAAGTGATGTCTGCTTTAACAACATACAACTTTCAGCTAGGGAGGAACACTTGAAAAAGCTAAAGATGAATTTCAAGAACTGTGAAGTATTTTGCTCTTACCAAACTCCAAGGCCTTTGCATTCAAAACTTTAGTGAAGTTTTCTGGGTAAGGAAATTCAGAGATTGCCTGTGGCATTTTGCTGCAGGCATTAAAATGCTTTAGGCCAGTAAGTATATCTTCCCAAGTCTTATCTGCTGTATGGTGATCAAAACACGAGTCATACTTAGGTTTGTAGAACAGCATTTGCCTCGTGTGTATCTTCGTTCCCCTTTATGCTCAACAAAAAACTTTTAAGACTGTGAGTTTTCAGTAATCTTTAGCATCTGTTCATAATGATGATGACAAACAGGGATGAAGACTGGAAAATGTCCAGAAGGACTTTTTAGTTTTTTAACAACTTCAAAGTTACTTGACCCTGTTTGTCTTAGCTTTGCCCAGTCCTCATTAGAAGGGAGGTCTGCACTGAGATCAACTTTAATTAAATTTAGATTTAGTTGCTGAAACTAGACAAGCCATTATAGCAGAAAGCTGTCTTTTTTTCTTCAAGATACTATATATTTCCATAATCAAGACTAAGAAAAAAGAAGTCTAAATGTTTACAGTGGAAAATAACACTTGCAGCAACATGCTGGGTGCTTCAGTAAACTTCTCTTGAACTGTGCTGGAGTGGTTACTACTCTGCTTGTCAAATGGCACTGATAGAAATGAAACTGGTTTTACACACACATGAAAAGAAATCTTCAAGTTAAATGCTGGATTTTGTAACTTACAGATACAATTTATACCCTCTTCTGGCAGTGCTCAGGATTGTGGAGAATTGTCTCACTTGTCATCTTTTACTTATCTAGTATTTCTTTTTCTGAGGACTCTCTAAAGAAGCTTGCCAACACTCCTACAGCCATAGTTTGCCATCCCGTTGTAAGTGGTGGATGAGTGTCTATGATGAGCATAGAGAGTTCAGCTTTTCTTGTGAGCAAAGCCTCTCAGCTTCCTGATGCAGTGTGTTACCTGTGACTGCTCATATAGCTATGGAAAGGATGCTCAGTGTGACTGTATTTTCTGCTTGTAGAATAGCTCCTTGATTCCTGCCTATTCCAGTTCACCTCCAGAACTCTGCCTGAAGATTTATGCTGTTGCTTTGGCAAAGTGTATCTTAAACTACCTGTAAGGACCCAAAGGAGATGTTGAGCTCTTTAAATGAAACAAAAAAGCTCCTTTTTTTCTTTTGTTTTGTTTCATTTCAAAGAAATCTGACCATTCAGAGCACAACTTGAATATTCAGGTATTTTCCATGTCAAAGCTGTGTTGCTTGCCCTGAGAAGACAGGACAAGTAGTTATTTCTGCTACTGTGTTGGCTTAATGAATGTTATTTTGAAACAGTTTGCTGTTTACAGCTTTGATCACACGAGATGTTCAAGGAGTTGTATTCAGCTATTCTCATAGAAGGGTTGGGTTTCATGGATGATTCCTTGAGCTCATGTGTGGGGAGAACCCAAAACATCCTTTTGCTTCTCTCATTTCATAGCAAAAAGATCAGTGGGTTTTAAAATACCTTAAATTTATTTGTGTTTGGGGTCAGTGCAAGAGAAATTATATTTTTATTTTCTTATGGTTGGATGATGCAGTATTGTGTGATCCGTAGATTTAGCAATATTTGATGAACAGTTTACAGTCACTGACTGTACTGTCTTGTGGCTGAGTCTGTACAAGCACTTTGTATAAATACTAACAGATTTGTTGCTCTTCAAACTCTGATCTGGCAGAAAGCACTGAGGAAAAACAAGCTAAGCATGCAAGCAAAAGGGTAACACAGCACCTTAGCTCCATGACACTGAATGGCAGCATGATAAAACAATAATATTCAGTGTAGATAAATGCCAAGTGATGCACTTTGGAAAAGCAGTCCTGGCTTTACATCTGCAGTAGCAGGCTGTGAAGTAGCTGTTGGCAATACGAAGGAGTTCTTGCAGTACAAAGTACTTGAATGCTGCAGTTTTAAACTTTGTTTCCAGATAATAGAGACAAACGAGAGAAGTGCAGGGAAGAGTGCTAGGAGTGAACACAGCCATGGATTGATTGGTGTATGAGGAGACTTCCAGTGTGGTGAGCAATGACTGATGGGGGAATATATGGTGTGGAAAACAATGTAGGAAGATGATGAATAGAGGATCAGTCATAGAATCATAAAGTATCTCAAGTTGGATGGGATCCATAAGAATCATTGAGTCCAACTTCCAGCTCCTCTTGACTTGAGTCAAAGCTGATTTTCCATAGTTTTATTTGCCCTCACACTTGCATTATCAGGAGCAGATTGAAAAGAAAAAGGAGGTCCTTTTATGTAAGAGTCCTGTACTTTAACTTGGAACTCATTGTCACAGAATCTTGAGTATTTTCTTGAGTCCAAAAGTAATTAAGGCAGATTAATGGAAGAAGAAATGTGTTACTGGCTGTTAAACTGAAGGCATAATCTTTAGAGACATCAGAGATAGAGATTCCTTAAAGATGGGAGGTAACACTCCATGCTTGTCCAGCACAGGCATCATGCTGCTTGCTATTGCCTTGTGCTAAAAGAAAATGCAGCAGATAAACCTGTGGTCTGATGCAGAATTATCTTTGTGTTATGCTTTTTTAATTAAAACCATTTTTAGGATGTGAAATGAAATAAACTTTAATTAGTTGTTGAAGTCTGAATTCTCTGAGTGGCATCAATGCAGGTGGAATAAAACATATTTTTCTTGCTTTGTCCTTCTGTTTCTCACTCCTTTTCCTGATTCTGAAGAGCAAATAGGGAAGAAAGTACAGACTTTATATGGTTCTTTGCATATGTGGAAGGGATGTGGAAATGTGATGAATAAACATGGCTGTAACCAAAAAAGACACTGGGAATTTTTTGTTTATGTTGCATCTTCATCCTGGGCTCTGGTTTTCTTTGGTGACAGTCTGGTAACTTCTTCCTTGCTTAGCAATAGACAGCATTCTCCTGCAGCTGCCTGAAGGAAGTGAAGGAGGAAGAATAGTGAATGGTAACCGTCTGTCTGCTTTCCTTTGGATGTGGAGGGCATCTATTCTACAATGATCTCAATCTCTCTTTGAGGGAGAAAAGTGGCGAAGATACTTTGGAACATGGGTCTTCCATGTGGTACCAGCCAAGCCAACACATGGACGGACCCTTAGTACTTGAAACATTCTGCTCTTGTATATACAAACAGCTTTTGTGCCTGCAGCAGTTATCTGTGATTTGTGTTTCTTGTGACTGCAAGCGAAGGCAGCAGCAGTTCTAGAGGAGACACAGCTATTAGATTATTTCACCCAGCTGGCTTGAACTGTCCTTAAAAGGCATCACTTGTTCAAGAGCTGTTTAGGAAAAGGAGCAAAAGTGGTGGCTTAGTGCAATAGTCTTACTATATTAATTAGAATGGGTTTGGAAATGATCTATTGCAGGCCTTGCTATTGAAACGATGGAAACTGAATATTTTGCTTTTACAAAAGTTCTTAAAAATGTTGAATTTTAAACTCTTACATACTGAAGTTTAAACAAGATCCAGTAATGAAAACCTTCATTGTGGTGTTGCATCTCTTTTTCTTTCTAGAAATTGGTTGCCCAAATGAAGCAAGATCCGCAGGTAACTATTGATTTTTATGTTGCATTATTTAGCCTTAAAAATAGAGGAAATAACAGTGCATGAAGCTTGAAAATTGTAGATATTTCTCAATCATGTTCTTCCTGCTATCACAGTATTTAGAAGAAAACTATTATGAATAACTGTTTAAACAATGACTACTGATAGTTCAAAACAAACCTGAAACTTTTACCTTTATGGAGCTTTTTGCCTTATATTCTTAATAGTTTAAATCATGCAACTCTTGCAGACTATGGTGCAGTTTAAAGTTGCAGTAGTCTTCTGATTCTATTGGAAGCTCCTCTCTATAAAACCTGCCAGCACTAGAATTTGCTTTCACATTTTTTTGCGTATCAGAAGGTTGTACAAGAAAAGGTAGGATATTCTGTCTAAGAAATTTTGTCCAAATACAGCATGTAGCTTAAGGCTGTGTTCAGATTGCCTGTTTTAGGTATCCAGCTTCAGCACTGTAGTGTCCAAAGAGTGGGCACTTGGCACTGGGATGCTTCAGAGCTATTGAAGCTGGATAACTAGGCTCTACATAGACAGTAGAATTCATCTCTTTCCCAGTGGCTGTGGAAGGAGACTGGGCTGTCTTGCACAGCAATTAAGCACTGCAGAGTGCTGAATGAGGAGTTCTGTGGAGTTCTCTAACCAGTCTGAAATGTTGAGTAGAGGGATAAAGGCAGCTCACTTGAGGCTTGCTATGAAGTGTTTCCATCCCCATACAACACTAAATGTCTTGTAATTTTATGAGCATGTATTTTTTTCTGAGCTCAGTGGAGTGCAAAGACAGCTTTTTGCAACAGTTAAGTAGGTAAACCCCTGACAGGGAGGGATGAGCAGGGAGAGGTATTGGAAAATCTGCTTTCCAGAACTAACTTATTCAGATGGCATCTGGGTAAGGTCTGCTACTCTTACTTGTTGGGCAAGTCTGCCAATGATAAGCTTAAAGGGCAATTTGCTTTCAGCTCAGGAAGAGTAAATCTGGTCCCTGCTTCCAATGCTTATAATGCATTTTAATCCCCGATTATTAAGTGGAATCTAGAAGAAGGGAAGATGACTGGACAGTATCTGGTTTTGCTAGAATTGTGTGTATATTGGAGAAGACTATCCACAAGATGAGGCTCCATTTCAAAATTGTATGGAGGAATATAAAAATAGGGAAGTTGTCCAGAGCACAAAGTTCCTTTAAGGATACTAATGACAGGAACTATGTTTTAGTATTTCTGTGCAGCACAGAAAACCTGCATAATCTAGTGTAAAGAGTTTACAACATAAATGAGAACAAAAATAGTGGGGTGGGGGGGAAGAGATTAACTCGGGAATCTCACTCCCCTGTCATGTTTCTGCAGAGCTTCACAGGCTTTAAAGTGAAGACAGATTTTTATATTTTAGTTTTAGTGAGAAACAAATAATCCTGGTAAAATAGTTTTCCCGACTGCATCTTTATAGTGATGTTTATGGCTTTCATATCTTAAACTTAAGAAAGTGCTATTGTAAGCAAAGTGCTGATATGAATGATATGTTAATACAAATGTAATTCTCTTAAATACAGTCTAAGGCATAAATGTACATAGAAATAAAGAAATGTTTGCCTTCGTTTGACACGTGTGTCAAGTAAGATTTAATAGATATGTTTGCTGATGGTCTACACAGTCAAATATATGATAATGTCTTTGTATAAGTAGCATAAGTGAGAATGCTTTAGATAATGCATCATTGCATGCTACTGTAAACAATATAATACTGTTGTATTATATCTTAACGAACATTTTTCATTTAATTTATAAGCTAGATGAAATGTGCAAACATGCTTTATAATGTGGTAAGCACTAATGGATGTTTTAATGAAATCTTCATTCCAAACTGAGTTGTCTCTCTGAGTGCTAGAAAGGTCCTCTGGTTATTGTTGCACTCAGTGACTTAAGCAAGGCTTTGTTGAGCCTCTTGAATTTTATTGGCTGTACCTGTACATCCAGAGGTGCTGTGTTTGTAGTACAATATGCAAAACAAACAAATCAAACAAAAAACAAACCACCTTCCTGCTACTACTCTCTGTTAACAAATGGAATATCTTTCTCACAGATATTTTTTCTTTCTAATCAGAACGCTGATTTGAAGAAACAGCTTCATGAACTTCAAGCCAAAATCACAGCTCTGAGTGAGAAACAGGTAGGGAAACAGAGATGTATTTTTAACACCCTGTTCCAAAGATTTCACTTTTCCCAGCTTCCAAGAGAGCTGCTAAATTTTTAAGTGCAGAAATAAGTGTGGGCAAACAGACACTTCTGATTTATATTTGATTTGAGTTATTGTGACTCTATCAAACAAGCAACTACAGTAATCAGTGGAAGCTTGTGTTGAAACTAATGTTTTATATTAAGGGAGCTGGGAAAATGAATGAATTTTGTCACTTCCTTTATTATTGTCTTGAAACTTATTCTAAACCAGACTGTTCTGGTTTAGGTAAAGTTGGTCCACACTGTCTGGATGAGTATGCTGGAATTTTTCTTTGTGTCTAGACCAACTAAATTGATGTCAGTTATGGGTACATAATAGACATTTGGAGTTGTGTGCTTTTACTGTGATAAATTATACTACAATTGTCTTACATTTACTATTTAGTAGGAATTCTCTTTGACAGGTCTAAAGTGTAAGTAATAATTACAACCGAATACTTAATAGAAAGATTGTGGAACTTGAAGATGTCTTGTGGGTAACTAGAAGGAAAATAAGTAACATTGAGAGATCCATAAAACTGGTTCTCGTGTTTTTAAAATAACAAAACAGCAACACATGAAAAAAATCCTCATGCACAACTGCCCTCCAAAACTGTACTGACTTGAGCAGTCAATTCTATTGCTATTATGTGAGTAATAAAACCATTAGGTTAATAGATAATACTTTTGAGAAGGGGAAAGAACGTGTGCATAGGTAAGCATAAGAGTTATGCATCTATGTCACATGTCGATACCTGCATTCATCTGTGTTTATCTGCATGTGTTCCGTTCTGAGAATTACCATTCCAAAGGAAACGGGCAGACAGTGATTAACATTTATGTACAAATTGTTTGCTAAACAATTATAGTACGTTTTAGTAGTGGAACAGTGAGTGTAGGAAGGAACGCATAAGGATAATAAAGAAAATGATTTTTTAATGAGAATACTAATTCAATAAAAACGGAGGTTTTGCTGATGTGGTGGCATGCCTCTCCTGAAGATGATTTATTCTCTAAAACCAGCATGAGGCTCTGCATGTGGCTGTGTCTCACAGCAAGAGGCTTCAGAATTCTCTAGTAAGCTCTGGAGGCCCATGGTAATTTCAGAATTAGCTTGCCTTGATGCCACAAAGCAAGTCATATTGACTACCAGTTCACATGAGCAGCAGGGACAGGCAGTGCAATGGGAAGGTAAGAAATGAGTGAGCATCTCCTACTGTAACTTTTAAACTTGGATTTGTAACTTTTTATGTTAGTGGTCTATACTAACTTGTATTATCAATTATCTATCACCAGTAATACAACTCTATCTTTTCTCCTGAAAATGATGGCGCAGTAAACTAAAACACACTTGTTCATGATTTGAACATGGGCTAAGTATCCAAAAGACTGAAAAACAAGTTTCTCACTTCACTTCTACCACATAGCAAATACAGTCAATACAAAGTCACAGTCCAGCTTCCTTCATTGTATTTTTATGGTTTTGATTATCAGCAGAACAGTGAAATTTTCTGTGGATGTTTAAATGTCTTGTTCTATCTACCACTGGACCACAGAGCTGCCAGTGTCCCAGATGACAGTGGTGTTAAAGTCGTATGGCTGTTAAAATGCATTGCTCATGACAAATGTGAGTTCTAGAAAAAAGCCCCACAACTTCCCAGTGCAGAGAAATGCTCACTCTCTCTTATTTGTAGGATTCTGTGGTTTATCATCTGTGGCTTAGCAGTGCAGAACAGCATCTCAGAGACTACAGCAAAGCCCTTTTTTTTCCTCCTGTTCTCACTTAATTTCTCTTTAGGAAAAATAATTATTATCAGTTGTTTTATGGGGAGAATGTTATCCAACAATTTAATTTGCACACAGCATGGAGAAGTGTGCAGTTTTGCATAGTAAATAAATGCTTTACATCGTGCAGTGCATTTCTAAGGAGGAGTGCAAAATGTGTTATCTCTACTCTTATTTAGAGCCAAGTAAGTAGTCTTGATGTCTGACATCCAAGGAATAAACTCTGAGGGCCTAACTCCACTCTGGACAGTGACAGGAGGTATAAGTGTCACTGTTTGATTAGTTTTTCACACTTCATTAAAAGCTCAAGTTTCAGCCTGTGTGGTTGTCCCTACTCCTTGACAGTGTTGTAGAGCTGATACCCTGATGTTGAGAGGCAGAATACTGCAGTATTTCTGGCTTCTGCAGTATTATGTCAGCCTAATGAATGTTTTTCTTTGCTCTCTTATTTAATGAAGTTGCATGAGGACTTGTGCAAGAACTGAGTCAGTGGTAGGTTAGCTAAAAGCTTTTAGTTGCTTTAGGACTTCTCTCCATTTCTGAAGCATTGTGAGAGTAGCACAGACACTTGCTGCTAGTCGCTGCAGTGATTCAGTGTGGCTTAGGTCTCTTGCTGAGAATTAATAATGGCAGCTCTGTTTGGAAGTTTGTGAAATTGAAGAGATCTGGCAAAGGACAAAAAGAAAGCAAGTAGGCTGTGCAGTGTGTAGGCTTAAACCTAAAGGAATTTGTTAGCTGATGCAGGGTTCAACTGTTACAGTAGAAGGTATGTCATATATTCATATGCTTTTTGAAAATGTGAATGAGGTGAAAATAAATGCTTTGATATGTTTCACCTGAGAGCTGATGGAGCAGCGTATGATGATAGCTTATGGAAGAAAAACTACAAAAACAGGAAAAAACTTGAAGATTACTTGCATTTAAAGGCAAGAGAACATGAATCCTTCAGACAGTAATTTTCCTCTGCTCGTCTCTGTTATTACTGTGTAGTACTAAACTGTGCTTACCTTATTTGTCTAATCTGGGGGCAATAAGGTGATGTCAGTTTAACAGTCTTGTTCCTCACCTATAAATGTGAGTGCTGCAGACTGGAAACCTGAATACAGGGGTTTTAAAACTGATTTCCTCTTTCTTCCCCCACCCTGCTCTCCAGTAAAGAGAAGTCAAGAGTCACTTTTTGCAAAACAGTTTTGATTGCCAAATTGAAGCTTGGGTTGTAAATATGAATTAATTCTTTTGCTGTGTAGCACTGTTTTATTATATTTTCATGTCTTTGTAAGAAAGAGTCTTTAGGACTCAGCACTCTTTCTTTTACTTTGTATTCTGTGAGAGTGTCTTCCTTTGGTATTCCGTTTTGTAGACTTTTGTAATTACCTATCACTACTCCTTTTTTGTCCGAGTTAAATATGCTCACATAAAGACTGTATTCCTGAATTTCTCCATGAGGAAGTTTACCACTGTGCACTCTTTTTACTTTGGAGAGGTGGACTGGAGGTTGTAAATGATGCCAGTGAAAGACTGAGGTAGAGCAGGGCTAATGTAAAGGAGCAGGAGAGATGTAATCTTGAAGTAACACCTTTTTTTCTGCTTCTTTTCCTCCATAGTTAATTAAAAAGTTAGAATATGATCTTGTAATATGTCATCATTGAGTATGTATCGTAACAGCACTTTTTTCCAATGACAAGGAGAAGTGATGTGTATTTGATTAAAGCAACATAAAGAAGTGGGCAGCAAACAAATGCATTTTAGGAATATCATGGTAAATGCATGGAAATTTCTGTATCTGTCTTTATCCCCATTTCTTGGAAAAGTTGGGACAACATTCTACCTTAAATGTGGAAGAAAGCTTCCAGGGATAGTCTCTTGGCCTTATGGTAAAGATGTGATAAGCATATC